GTTGTGTGTGTGTGTGTGTGTGTGTGTGTGTGTGTGTGTGTGTGTGTGTGTGTGTGTGCGATTTTGTCTCTCAGGGGAACTTTGGCAACAGCTGGAGACATTTTTTGTCACAACCAGGGGTGGAGTGGGTGAGTTGCTACTGGCATGCAGTGCACAGAGGCCAGGGATGCTGCTAAACATCCTACAGTGCACAGGACAGCCACCCCCCAACAAAGAATTATGAATCCAGCCCAAAATGTCAGTAGAGCTGCTGCTGAGAAGCGACACATTACTATGCTCCACACCCCATTCTGTTCTTATTTCCAAGGATTCAAAAGTAACTCCTTCAAAATTAAACAAATTGTTCAAAGTCACGGATAAATCAATGCCTTGTTCATGTTGCAACTCTCTTCCATCATAAAGGAAAACACATTGGCGCCTTAAGATAAAAAAGGCGGAGGGGGGTGGTGGAAGAGGATGGAGGAAGCGCAGTAAGCAGAAAGGAAATGCAAACTGATTACTGGGGTTAAGAATTAAGATATAAATATGTAGATGTTTTTCATCCCCAGGATTTTCACCAATCCAAATGTTCACGTACTGCTTGGAAATTTAATTATTTGGAGCTGGTTAAATGTTACCCTGACCTCAACCAACAATTGCGTTTGGCTTCCTTCCGGGACCCAAGGGACATGGATGCCAGATGAGACTACCATCTCTTCCCTCTCTTCCCGAAGGGATGAGGCCTGCCAGGTGCTGGTGGCTCGACTCCTGACTGGCGGCCGCTCTGTGGACTATTGGCAGAGATCCAGAGCAACAGACTGGCGCTTGGGGATCTTTCCCCGCTCAGCCCGTCCACCCTAGCGTCCTCTCCAGCGGGGGGCGGGGCTGCGGGGCCGCGGCAGCGCACGTCCCTGCGCCGTGACGTCACAATCCCGGCGCCTTGGAGGCTGCACTTAGCAACCTGCTTTGCGTCAGTCTCCGGCTCATGCCGCCGCCCGTGGCTTCTTTCTCGCCAAACGTCTGCTGCGGGGGCTGGCCCGGCCCCGGGAAGGACCAGAGGGGACCCAGCGTGTCCCCACGGCGGCTGCAAGAGGATCTAAGCATGGATGGCAGCCGGAGAGGTAAAGGGCAGCTGTCGCGGGCGACCGCCATCTCGCGTCGACCCGCTCTCCGACCCTCGGGTCTGGGGTCCGGGTAAGGGCCGCGCGGGTCGAGGCCCCGCGCTGGGCGCTCCCCGACCCCTGCTTAGTCGCCGGTGTTGACCCGAGTGTTGCCCCGAGCTGCCCAGGCCTCTCGCCCGGGATGAAGCCCCGCTTGCGAGGTTCACAGGTCCACTTCTTGCTCAGAATTTGTTGCCCTGACTCCAGGAGGCCCTGTCCCCTGAATTCGGGGTCGGAGGCAGAGGAACCAAATGTGGTCTTTGGAGCCAGACCTCCCTGGGCCCCAAATTAAGCCCCGCTGCACTCCCGAGGGGTGAGCCTCAGTTTCCTCATCTCAAACCATGAGTGGTGGTAAAAACACCCATGGATTTTTTTTTTACATTAAATGGGTAAAACCACCCATTTAATCTTGAGGATTAAATGCGGATAATACATACAAAGCTCCCGGCACATTGTAAGTACTCAGTAAATACAAAATCCTTCATACTGTAACACCGTCCCCGCCCGCGAATAGGAATCAATCACCTAGGAATCTTGTTAAAATGCAGGTTATGATTCAGTAAGTCTGATGGGGAGGAGCTGAGATTTTGCATTTCTAATAAGCTTCCAAATGATGCAGCATTGCTGGCTACAGTTTTAGGAGCAAAGGACTAATCCATAGTCACTATGTATACCTGCCCTTGACTGAATACTCTGGGTTAAAATGTACATCACTGTGGAACAATTGGAGCCATATAACTTTAAATCTCTAGGAGTCAGCCCAGTCCAAATAGTCTGCATCTTCACACTTTCTGAGCGAGGCAGATAAGGCAATCTTCAGACCTCTTCTCCCAATTCAGTGTTCTTATCTATTTTAAACTGTACCTTTAAACCAAGCTGCTGGGTGGTTCCTTGCAACAAGTCTTGCTTTGATTACAAGTGCACCTCTATTATGTAATCATTGATCAAAATAAGTGCTGTTCTAATTGTAGGAGATAACTATTCATCGATCACCAAACGGTATACTCTGACACCTTGCCACCTAAGTTCCAGAAAAAGCAAACGAAAGTGCTGTTAATGGTTTTCAGAAGTTTTACCACATAGGCTAACATTACTCATGCTGTGTACCAGAAACTATTCCCAAGTTAACGTTTTTTAATCCACAGAACATCTTGTACATAGGTATTCTCATTTTACAGTGAAGAAACTAAAAGATCATAAGTAACTTGCTAAGGTCACAGTTCAGTGGCACAGCAGGCTTTGAATCCAGGTGTGATGAATGTGAAACCTGAGAGCCATTGTTTTACTTAACTATCCCATGGTAGAAGTGGGAGCATGGGAAAGGATATTTGTAAAATTTAGAATATAATAGACTTAGTAAGTCTTAGTGTGTGTCAGTATTTATTAATTAAATTATTTTTAAAGTCAGGCTCATGTCAAAATGTAAAAAGATTTCTATTTTTATAACTTACCCAATTTAATTAGCTTCATTTTTAGGACATTATATAATATATAGTATCAAACATTTTTTTATTTTGAGTTTTTAAGCAAAATGTAATATTCAACAGAGATCTAGGATCAGTTCTCCTATAGCATAATTATTAATAGGAAACCATAAGTAATTTTAGCCAGAGCTAAAATACTTAATTTTAACTGAAAGTATTGCACTTTCTAAATTTCTTTGATTTCATTAAGAGGTTACCTTTGATGCTTTCAAGAGCACAAAATATTAAGACATCTAACGTTATAATTTATTTATCTTTTGTCATTTATTCTCTCTGACGTTGTGCTCTCTAACTTATCTAGATATACCTGCTTTTTCTTTTTCTGTGAACATTAGAAGGGAATTTGGAGGGAATAAACTACATACTTCTTAGCCTGTTTCACTTGATATAGTAGCTTGGAGCATGGTTTCAGTCCTAAGCAATTTATATTGATCAAGATAGTGTAATGGTTGACTCAGAAGCCAGACTGCCTAGGTTCAGACCCGAAATCTGTCACATAGTAGTTGTGTAATCTTGGGGAAATTACATGCTTTACCTCTTTGTGCTTCATCTATAAAGTGGGGATAATGATAGTACCCCTCATCGGATTGTTGTAAGGATTAAGTGAATTTGTTTCTACAAAGTGCTTAGAACAGTGCCAGGCACAGTTAGCAGTATTCAGTAAGTTAGCATCTGACTACAAGTGAAGAAGCCCAACTCAAGCTGGCTTAAGCTAAAATAGGATTTTTTGAGTTCATGTACGAATAGGCTAGGGAGGGTAGAGCTTCAAACATGGTTAGATCCCGATGCTCAGACGATGTTACCAGGGATCTCATTTGGTCTTGGTTACACTTCCCTCTGTGTAGGCTTCGTTCTCAGACAGGTTCCCATTGTGTTGTGCAAGATGGCCACCAGTAGTGCCAGGCTTATTTATGTTCTAGGAATTTCCTAAGAGTTCCAGTAAAAGTCCCATGATTATGTCTCATTGGCTGGACTTGGGTCACATAGTCATTCCTGATTCAGTCATCATTGCTGCCCAGTTTGCAGTGATATGCCCACCTCTGAGCAGTGGGCTCCCCTTGAACCAGCTGGGCTAAGAGAGGGGAGGAGTGGTTCCCCAAGCAGGTTGAGGTCCCATTTCCAGATAAAGGGGCATTGGATTCTGGGCAGGCAAAAAGTCAACACTTTTTTCCCTCTGGGGAAATAAGGTTTGCTTGAGAGTTTGTTGGTTAGTTTGCTCTTTTTATGTTTAGTCTCTCTCTCTGGGCAAAAACTATGCTAATTTCATGACTCTCTTCATTACCAGCTCAAGTGGTATCACCTTGACTTCTCTTGTCGTAAATAAGTTAATATTTTTCCTTCTGGCTCTCTGGCCTATGATGTAGAAGGAGCTTCTTGGGTATTCTGATCTCAGATTGTTTTTTGTTTTAGTCTGTTCTGGCACGCTTTGTTCTCTGATCCTAGACTTTAGTTCTACTATCTTGATAACTCTTTTTCTATTTTCAAACATCATATTTCTTCCAGACTTTGTGTCTTCCCCACACCTGAATAAAGTCAGTATATATCAAATAACATAATTAATGTGTTTATCATTTTATCCAGTGAAACTTAAGCCTCAAGGCACAACTGTTTTGAAAATTACTTATTTTCTTAAAAGAGAAAGCCTTTTATCTATGGCCGCCGAATTTTTGTGTGATATATCATTGCTGGTTAGTAATATGATTGAATAAAATTTTAAACAATTTTGGTAAAGATAAGTTTATTATTTTTTATGTGTTCAGTAGTGTCTTTGTGAAAGTTGTGTTTCATTTATCCTAATTCATGTTTTTTTGTTAAAAGTCAGAGCAGCCTCTGTCCTTCCCAAATATGGTCCACCCTGCCTATTTAAAGGACACTTGAGCACCAAAAGTAATGGTAAGTGAGGTACTTAAAATGGTAAAAGATTGTTAAAAGATTGACCGAGTGTGTTTCCTTTATTTGTAAATTATATAACATGATGAAAAAATACTTCATTTAATCAATATTTGAACTTCATATTATCAGTTATAATTACATATTATAGGAATTCTTGAGGTTAGAGAATTTAGGAGCCCATCATGCCCTGGATGTGGACCTTGCTACCTTGTGCTCCCTGCTGCAGCTCCAGCCCAGCTCTTCTCTTTGCTGGCCAACTACCCTGGCTGAAGGCATGCCTTCCTTGTTAAAATGGTGATTAGCAGATTGTTAAAGACACAGCACTGAAAAGGAAAAGCTGTGCAGAGGAAAAGAGCCCTTGAAAAATGCATTTTGTATCAAGAGCAAACACTTATCCTGGGTCTCTTTATCCAATTGGACTTCTAGATCCTATGAAAGCAGAATCTGTATTCTGTAGATGTTTTCACATTTTAAAGCCTTTAAAGTAAATTTTAATGTACATTTAAAGTATTTTTATAATTATAGCTTAAAATGTTTAAGCCTGGGTTTTTAGGCAAAATACTAATTGAAAGTCTTTCTTTCCTTATTTACATGAAAAATCCTTTATACTGATCCTCCAAATGTGAAAGAAGAATCATTTTCCGTTACCTCATTTATTTCTTTATAATAAAGCATATATACACATAGAGCCAGAATCATAAACTTTGAAAATCAATTTTTAAATAAAAATTTTGAACTAGTTTTAAAAGTTACATATATAGAAAAGCAGGATGAAGAACAATATGTCGTATACTAACTTTTTTTTAAAGAATATATGTGCAGAGCTGGTATAGGAATAGTGATTGTAAGTATGAGGTTGCCTTGGTTCACATCTAAACTGCCTCCCTTATCAGCTGTGTGACCTTGAAGACCTTACTCACATCTCTCTGCCTTAGTTTGCACATCTATTAAATGGTGATAATAATGACTAAATGAGTTTTTACAGGTAAAGAGCTTAGAGCAATATATGCATGGCACCTATTCAACAAATGTTTTTAGTAGTAGTTGTAGTATTAGTGTCAAGATTATCATTATTGTATATACTTTTATTATGCATAGAATTTCCTTGGAAGGATACATTAAAAATGTAGCAGAGTATACTTCTGGGAGAGGAGACTAGGGGTCAGGGCAGGAAATTCACTTATTTTTCAATGTCTCTATGCCATTTTAGCTATAATTTTTAACCACATGCATGTATTCCTTCTCAAAAACTTTTTAATATTTAAAAAATTTATGCCTACATTTACATTTTATACATTTATACTCATATATACATGCTTAATTCTAAGATTTCTTTTAACAGTTTAGAGGAGGTCAAGAAGTTTAATGTCATCCAATTTCTTTGTAATTATACTTGTCTTAAGATAGTCCTAATACTTCAAAAAGAATGCAGTAAACAGATTTGTAGGTCTTGTTTTCAGATATAAAATTAGAACTTTGCATCTCAGAATAGAATCTTTGCCTAGAGTTTCGGAGTTTGGGATTTGTTTGATTTCCCAGACTCCATGTGTTCAAGTGTTAACAATGGTAACATCAGGCAAGCAGCTAAACATCTTTAGTTATGAGATTGAGAGCTGTCAATAAGAAATAGTTTTGTAAATGTAATGGTAGATTATATTTCTCAGTCTCTTCCCAACTCTCAGGCTTGTAAAACTTATTCCTAGAAAGGTTTGAACCCAAAGTAGTGAATAGCTTGTTATCAGTGCAAGGTGACCGCTAGGACATATTCAGCATCACAGACATAATGTCAGTATCTCCATGGTTAAACTTCAGAACATTTTATAAAAAGGAGCTTAATAATCAGTAACTTGTTTATCTCATGATGACTTTTATATTTTAAATATATAATGATTAAATATGTTTTAATTTTTAGCTTTTTGCACTGACTCCTCCTCTCTCAGACTAAGTACCCTCCAACTGGTCAAGAATCACATGGCTGTTCACTATAATAAAATCCTTTCAGCCAAAGGTAAAAACGTGCAAATGTTAACTTTCTGTACCCAATTTAAACCCTTCTCAGCTTCACTTCTAATTAGTGTAAATCTGTAGCAAAAATGAATACATTATATACCCATGGGTTTGTGTTTGGTGTAGTAAGATACCAACCACAGACTCTATATACCTAGCAAATTCAAAATGCCATTTTTATTAACTGTATTTGAATGTAATATCTATGTTGTTTCATTTTACCTGTTATTCCTAATATATTTTTGCGATTAGATGCTGATCTTAATATAACAAAAGTTTATGATCTTCTCTTCTGTTTTCAAATTTGAAGAAGCTACACAGAGAAGATGGTAACTACAATTTTTTTCTTTTTGTCAGCTTTATCGAGGTGTAACTTACATATAATAAAATGAACTAATTTTAAGTGTACAGTTGAAATTTTTGAAAAATATATACATTTTTATGATCACTACAGCCATGCTATAAAAGAAGGATGGGCTAACTACAGCTTGCAGGCCAAGTCATCCTGCCACCTGTTTTTGTACAGCTCCTGAACTAAGAATGCTATTTATATTTTTAAATGGTTGAAAAATATCAGAAGAATAATATTTTGTAACATGTGAACGTTACATAAAATTGAAATTCTGTCGTCCATAAATAAACACAGTCACATTCATTGTTTTACACATCGTCTATGGTGGCTTTTACACTAAAAGGCAGAGTTGACTAGTTGTGACAGAGTCTTTATCACCCTGCAAAGCCTGTAGAATTAGCTCTCTGTTCCTTTACAGAGAATGTTCACTGACTCCTGGTATAGAACATTTTCATCGTCCCAAAAGGTTCTCCCTAGTCCTTTGCAATCACTCTCTTCCCTCCAGTTCCTGGCAACCACTGATCTCCTTTCTCTCACTATAGTTTTGCCTCTTCTAGAATTTCATATAAATGGAATTATACAATATGTATCATTTGGGGTCTGGCTTATTTCAATTAGTTAACACTTTTGAAACTAATCCATGTTCAGTATTTCTTCCTTGTTATTGCTGAGTAGTGTTCCATTTAATGAATATACCACAATTAGTTAATCACTTCATCAGTTGGTAGACATCTGGATTGTATTGACTCACTTTTGGCAATTAGGAATAAAGCTGCTGTACACATTCACATAGAATCTTTGAATGTATGTTTCCATTTCACTTGGATAAATTTATTTACTAGGAGTGGAATGGTGGCGTAATATGGTATGTGTATGTTTAACTTTATAAGAAACTGCCAGACTGTTTTCCAGAGTGACATTTTTCATTTCTGTCACTTCCACATCCTCACCAACACTTCCTATTGGCAGTCCTAGTGGATATGTAATGGTATCTCATAGGGTTTTAGTTTCTATTTCCCTAATGTCTAATGATGTTGAGCAACTTTTTTTTTTCCTTTTTTTAATTGAAATATAGTTGACGTACAATATTACATTTCAGGTGTACTACATAGTGATTTGACATTTGCACACATTATGAAATGATCACCAAGTCTACTAACCACCTGTCCCCATAAAAAGTTAATTGCAATATTATTGACCCTATTCCTTATGCTATGTAGTACTTATCCGTGGCTTATTTATTGTATAAAGGGAGGCTTGTACCTCTTAATCCCCTTCACCTATTTTTCCCCCCATTCCCAGCTCCCTCCTTTCTGGCAACCACTCATTTACTCTTTGTATCTGAGTCTTTTCATTTTGTTTGTTCATTTTGTTTTTCGGATTCCACATACAAGTGAGATCATACAGTATTTGTCTTTTTTGTCTGACTTATTTCACTTCTCATAATACCCTCTAGATCCATTCATGTTATAGCAAAAGACAAGATTTCATTTTTTATGGCTGAGTAATATTCCATCATATATGTACACCACATCTTCTTTATTCATTCATCTATCAATAGTCACTTAGCTTGCTCCCATATCTTGGCTATTGTGGATAATGCTGCGGTGAACATTGGAGTGCATATAGCTTTTTAATTACTGTTTTTATTTCCTTCAGGTAAATTCCCAGAAGCGGAATTACTGAATCATATAGTAGTTCTATTTTTAATTTTTTGAGAAACCTTCATACTGTTTTCCATAGTGATTGTACCAATTTACAATCCCACCAACAGTGCACAGGGGTTCCCTTTTCATTGAGCAACTTTTCTTATGCTTATTTGCCATCTGTGTATCTTCTTTGGTGAAATATCTATTTAAATTTTTTGCCCATTTTTAAAAAATGGATTGTTTGTCTTCTTAGTATTAAGTTTTGAGAGTTCTCTTTATATGAATATGGGTCCTATGTCAGATACATATTTTGCAAATATTTTCTCCCAGTCTGTGACTTGTCTTTTCATCTTCTGAAGTTTTTATTGTGAAATAACTTTAGGCTTATAGAAAAGTTGCAGAAATAGTACAGAATGTCAAAGAAACCCTTCACCCAGCTTCCCCTGATGTCAAAATCTTACAAAGCTATAATACAATTATTAAAACCAGGAAATTAATATTGACACAATATTATTAAATACAGACCTTATTTGAATTCCACCAGTTTTTCACCAGTGTCTTTTAATTTTATTTTTAAATTTTATCATTAGAAGAGCTAAAGTTTTTAAATTTTGGTTCATGTTTTCTGAAGTTTATATTTTAAATGATTAAAAAATCTAAAGAAAAATATTTTGTTATATGTGAAATCAAGTCCAGCATTTCAAATTTTTAATAGTTATGCTTTTCATATCCTGTTGAAGAAATCTTTGCCTAATCTTAGGTCATTAAGATTTTCTTGTGTGTTTTCTTCTAGAAGTATAAGTTTTAGCTCCTACATTTAAGTTTATAATCCATTTTGGGTTAGTTTTTTTATAAGGTATGATATAAGGATCACTTTTTTGCCTATGGATAGCTAAATATTGAAGTACTATCTGTTGAAGAGATTGTCCTTTCCTTATGGACCTGCCTTGGCACTTTTTAAAAGACAATTGACCATATGCAGGGGTCTGTTTCTGGACTTACTCTTCAGTTCTGTTGATCTGTTTGTCTGTTAGAATACCACACTGCCGTCATCACTATAGCATTACAGTAAGTCTTGAAATTAGATAACGTAGGTGCTCCAATTTTGCTCTTTTATTTTCTCAAGCTTGTCTTGGGACTCCAGTTACAAGTATGTTAAGTGAGTGATACAGGTAGGTTAAGTCAGTGATGCTCTGCACATTTGTTTTCCAGTCTTTACTCTGTTTCATTTTGAATATTTATATTGCTGTGTTTTCAAGTTCACTAATATTTCTTTCTGCAGTATCTAATGATTGTTAATCCCAACCAGTATATATTTTTTATCAAAGGTATTTTTCATCTCTATAAGTAGCATAAAAATCAAAACAAGGAAGTGCAAGTTCTGGAACTTTTTGTGATTTTCGCATCTGATATTTATTGTCATTTATAAAAATTAAGAATAATGTTAAACTGGGCTTCCCTGGTGGCGCAGCAATTGAGCGTCCGCCTGACGATGCAGGGCACACGGGTTCGTGCCACGGTCCGGGAGGATCCCACATGCCTCGGAGCGGCTGGGCCCGTGAGCCATGGCCGCTGAGCCTGCGCGTCCAGAGCCTGTGCTCCACAATGGGAGAGGCCACAACAGTGAGAGGCCCGCGTACTGCAAAAAAAAAAAAAAAAAAAAGAATAATATTAAACAACTGATTTTTCTCTTTCAGCTGCAGTAGACTGCTCAGTTCCACTAAGCATGAGTGCCAGCATCAAATGTAAGTAATTTTTAACATATTGCCTTTTTAAAAAAAAATTATGGTAAACTACACATAACCTAAAATTTACCATCTTAACCATTTTTTTAACTTTATTTTTTTTATAAATTTATTTATTCATTTTTGGCTGCATTAGGTCTTGGTTGCTATGCATAGGCTTTCTTTTTAGTTGCAGCGAGCGGGGGCTACTCTTCGTTGCGGTGCACAGTCCTCTCATTAAGGTGGCTTCTCTTGTTGTGGAGCACGGGCTCTAGGTGGGCGCAGGCTTCAGTAGTTGTGGCACATGGGCTCGGTAGTTTTGGCTCACAGGCTCTAGAGCGCAGGCTCAGTAGTTGTGGTGCACGGGCTTAGTAGCTCCACGGCATGTGGGATCTTGCCAGACCAGAGCTCGAACCCGTGTCCCTTGCATTGACAGGCAGATTCTCAACCACTGTGCTACCAAGGAAGACCCCATCTTAACCATTTTTTTTTTTGTTTTTTTTTTTGTTTTTGTTTTTACGATACGCGGGCCTCTCACTGTTTCGGCCTCTCCTGCTGTGGAGCACAGGCTCCGGACGCGCACGCCCAGTGGCCGTGGCTCACCGGCCCAGCCTCTCCGCGGCATGTGGGATCTTCCCGGACCGGGGCACGAACCCGTGTCCCCTGCATTGGCAGGCAGACTCTCAACCACTGTGCCACCAGGGAAGCCCCCATCTTAACCATTTTTATGTCTACAATTCAGTGTCATTAAGTACATTCATATTGTGGTACAACTATAACCACTATCCATTTCCAGAATTCTTTTCATCTTGCAAAACTGAAACTTCACACCCATTAAACAGTAACTCCCCATTCACCCTGCAACCATCGTTCTATATTCTGTTTCAATGTATTTGACTTCCCTAGGTAACTCATTTAAGTGGAATTATCCAGTGTTTTTCTTTTTGTGATTAACTTATTTCACTTGCACAGTGTCCTTAAGGCTCATCCATGTTGTAATCTGTCAGAAATCTTCTTGCTTTTTAAGGCTGACTAATATTCCATTGTATGTACTACCATATTTTGTTTATATGTTCATAAGTCAATGAACAGTTGGGTTGTTTCCACCTTTTGGCAATTGTGAATAATCCTTCTATAGACATGGATGTACGAATATTTGTTTGAGACCCTGCTTTCAGTTTTTCTGTGTATATACCCAGAAATGGAATTTCTGGATCATATGGTAAATCTGCTTTTAATCTTATATTCCCAATTTCCAGTTTGAGGGTTCCAATTTCTCCACGTCCTCCCCAACACTTGTTCTCTGTTTTTTTTGATAGTAACCCTCCTAATGTGTATTGACATGCTGCGTTTTGAGGAAGCATTTTCTAACTTTTAAAAATCATCCATAAAAGAAGCTTGTATTGTATTTCTCAGTATAAGAACTTACAGTTGAGCCCAGGCTCTGCCAGTAAATCACTGTGTAACTTTGGATAAGTTATTTAACTACTCTGGGTTTCATTTTTCCTCTATATAAAAATTTGGATAGTACTGAAAAGCTTGGCAAGGTTTAAGTTCTAGAATTCTGTGATTCTCACTGCCCTCAGCTTGTTGAGATTACTGAATTAGGAACTTCCCTGGTGGTGCAGCGTTTAAGAATCCGCTTGCCAATGCAGGGGACACGGGTTCGATCCCTGGTCCGGGAGGATCCCACATGCCACCGAGCAACTAAGCCTGTGCACCACAACTACTGAGCCTGTGCTCTAGAGCCCACAGGCCACAACTACTGAAGCGTGCGTGCCTAGATCGCTTGCTCCACAACAAGAGAAGTCACTGCAGTGAGAAACCTGCACACCGCCGTGAAGAGTAGCCCCTGCTCACTGCAACTAGAGAAAGCATACATGCAGCAACGAAGACCCAAGGCAGCCAAAAGTAAATAAATAAAATAATTTTTTTTTAATTACTGAATTATTCATTAAAAATACCATAACTGGCACTTTTCTTCAGATAAATATTATCTACTATTTGTATCCTAATAGCTAACTGATAAACATGGTAGTTATTTGTATCTGAAAAGCTATTGACATATATTATTATAGAATCATGATATATCTCCCCTTTGTATGTACATACATATGGTATGTACATAGAAAAATATTTCTATTTTTAGAAATCTTTACTAAGGAAATAATCAGACCACAAAATTTGAAATTCCTATTTTAAAATGTTCTGAAAGATACCATTTAAGACCTTTTGAGGCCTTTGAGTCCAATCAAGAAATGCATACTTTAAAATAGCCAAAGAGCATGGATATCACAGCCTGTGCTTGTCTTACTGTAATTATATAAATATCAAATATTATAAACTTTAGTGTTTTCTTAAGCTGCTGTTTGAACTTGTTATTTATAGTTTGAGAGAGAACTTCTGCATTAAAAAATAAATAACAGCTTCAAGTAGTGCATGCTAAGTGATAAATGAATGAGAGCGTAGATAGGAGAAAGCCCCTTATGCGCAATCTGGGAAAGATCACAGACAACGGGATTGGTTGTACCTATCTCTGCTTGTACATTTTCGTAGTGGAACAGATAGGAACAGATGGGACTTAAACTGAGCCAGTTGCCACCAGTGAGCATAGTGTCTTTATCAGGCCCTGTGCTTGGCACTTTGTATTCTCCCTCTTCTGTGACCTTTATGTTTGCAACAAGCCTTCGTGTAGGTTCTCATATCTTTGAATGAGTCTTAGTTTTCGAATAATTTTATAAGGAGGGTAAAGGCATTTTAGGCAAGAGTACAGTGTTGAGTATATATTTTTAAAGACCAGTTTCACCATAGCACACAAGCTATATGGGCTAGTCATTTTATGTCTTTCCCTCCTCTTTTGTAAAATGAAAGATAGATAATCTCTAAGGATCCTTCCAGATTTTTAATTTCTATGCTTTATATTTCTTCTTCTGTATCATATTAGTAATTTTTTATCACACAGAAAACTGGTTCAATATTTTTAGGCTTTCAAAATCTGAATCATTTGAATTAAGGTGGTTTTACCCAGTTGACATTAGATCAAATAATCCTCTTTAACTAGGCTCTAAATGGGAAAGTTTTGCTAAATTTTCATACTGAACAAGTTCCTGAACAATAGATGTATAAGATAAGATTATCTCTTTTTTATTCAGGTTGTATAATTAACAAGCCTGAATGTATGTATTAATCCTCTTACTGAACCAAATTCACCAATTTAAAATCCAAATTCACCAATTTAAAATAATCAGGCATTTTGCATATTTTGTTTAGTACACTAGAGTTTATTCAGTGATTAATTCAGCAATTATTTATTGGACACCTACTGTTGGCTTTTATAGACCTTACATTCCAGTTGAAGGAGACAAACGATAAGCAAATGCAAAGAAATGAGTAATATAGACTATATCAGATGGTAATAAGTGCAATGAAAAAGAATGAAGCGGGATAAGGGAGATTGGGACTTTGGAGAAGAAGGCCTCACTGATAAGGTGAGCAGAGACCTGAAAGAAATAAGGGAGAAGCAAGTGGGTAAAGGTGGGAAGAGCAATCAAGATGGAGAAAACAGCGCATACAAAAGCGTTGACATGGCATTGTGATCAGTGGATCCAGGGGAACAGCAAGAAGAGCTGTATAGCTGGTGTGAAATAAGCCAGCTGAAGAGTGACAAGCGATGAGGTCACTGAGATGGGACAAAGAGATGCAGACCACATAGGGCTATGACTATTTGCAAGCACTTTGGCTTTCACTCTAAATGAAATTGGAAGCCATTGGAGGGTCTTGGGTAGAAGAGAAGGAACAGAACCAGTTTAACTTTAAAAGCATCTTTCTGGCTGGTGAGTTAAGAATAGTCTATAAGGGTCAGTGGTAGAAGCAGAATGACTAGTTAGGAGACAGTAATTCAGATGAGAAATAGTGGTGACTTGGACCAAAGTGCCTGTAAGTAGAGGGAATGTGAAATGGCTGGATTCTGGAAATATTTCAGATGTGTGTCAACAGTATTTACTGATGGACTGGATGTAGATAGAATATGAGAGAAAAAAAAGAGTCAAAGATGACTCCCAATACTTAAGAGTCCGTCAACTAAAATGACAGTTACAACTTACTGAAATGAGGAATATGATAGGAAGATATTTAGGGGAGGAAGTGAATCAAGAGTTAAGTCTTAGTCATTTTAAGTTCAAAATAAATACCTCTTAGAAATCCAAGTGGAGATGCTGAGGAGGCAGTTGTAATACAAAGTTTGGAGTTCAGGAGAGAGTTCCAGGATGGAGATAAAAATTCAGAAATTGATGGCATATAAGTTGTATTTAAAGAATTACTCCTATTTTTTGTTTTTAGAAATTAAACTTAGCTAGTGCTTATTTATCCCATGATATTTTCTGCTTTCAGTCAGTTGAGACAGGAGTTTTTCTTTTTGGCCATGTAAATGAAGAAAATTGTGATGGCTAGAAGAATTGCAAAGATTGTAATCACCAAACCAAAGTGTAATTAATAATCATTACTTTGTGTGTTACAAAGCTGATGCTCATTGTAATCAGTATGAACTAACTTAGAAACAGGCTTTATAGACATATTTTTAAAAAGAAATAAATCTGTGGTTTTGAGTCATCTCTGTTTTTATAAGATATACTCTTCTGTCATAGCAGACAACTGACTTGATAATTTCAGTCTTTATCAAAACTAGAATATCTCTATATACTTTGTTGAATTGTCTAAATAATGCCATATTCTAATGCATTAGAAAGGCTTTTTTTTTTTTTTGCGGTACGCGGGCTTCTCACTGTTGTGGCCTCTCCCATTGCGGTGCACAGGCCCCGGACGCTCAGGCTCAGCGGCCATGGCTCACGGGCCCAGCCGCTCCGCGGCATGTGGGATCTTCCCGGACCGGGGCACGAACCTGTGTCCCCTGCATCGGCAGGCGGACTCTCAACCACTGTGCCACCAGGGAAGCCCGGCTTTATTTTTTATAGCAGTTTTATTGACAAATAATTTTCATACCATAAAATTCATGGATTTTTACTAAGCTTACAGAATTGTGCAATCATCACTACAAACCAGTTTCAGAATATTTTCCTCACCTTAAGAAGATCCCCAAAATGATAGCTTTGCAGCTGCTTCCTCATCCCACCCCTAGCCTTGGAAGCCACTAATCTGCTTTCTTTGTACATTTGCCTTTTCTGGACATTTTATATAAATGGAGTCATATATGTGTTTTTTTGCATTAGACTTTTACTTAGAATAATGTTTTTGAGATTAACCTATGTGGTAACCTAAATCAGTACTTCTTTCCTTTTTAATTGTTAAATAGTATTCTGTTGAATGGATAATGCCACATTTTGTCTATTTATCAATTGACTGATGTGCTCTTTCTGTTTTTTGACCATTATGAATAGTGCGCTATGAACATTCATGTACAAGTCTTTCATGTGAATATGAATTTTCATTTCTCTTGGGCATACACCTGAGAATGGAATTGCTAGGTCATATGGTAAAATTATACTTAACTTTTTAAGAAACTGCCAAACTGTATTCTAAAGTGGCCATACCATTTTATATTCTCGCCTCCAACATAATTAGGATTTCAGTTACTCCATATCCTTGCTAACATGTTATTGACTCCTTTTTTGACTATAGCCATTCTAGTGGGTGTGAAGTGGTGTCTCATTATGATTTTAATTTGCATTTTCCTCATGATTATGGATGTAAAGCATTTTTTCATATGCTTATTGGCCATTTGTATATCTTTAGTAAGTGTCTTTTCAAATCTTTTGCCCCTTTTTTTCCCCCTAAATCATGGTGATTTGAAACTTGAAATTATCTTGTCCATTAAGTTGATATAGATTCCAATTAAAAAGTATATGTTAAATTTTAAATTTTACATGAAAATACAAGTCATTTTACTTATGGTTAGCCTTCTTTTTAACTCTGAAACTTGACTAGCTTTCATTTTGCCATTTTCAGTCTTTGATAATGACTCAATACCTGACTTAAGGCACACTAAAATGTGAAACCCCCTTTTTTGTTTGTATTTTCAAATGACTAGCAGTTAAGAAAAATGGAAATCAGTTATCCTGATTAAAAATAATGTTTTAAAATTCAGTGTCATTTTTTTGACTCATATAAAGCTTAAATTTTTATAGCATATGATGGTATTGACAATAATATTTCATTTGTGGGGGAGTATATGGATTAATTCAAACTCTGCATTTGGTGATTACAGTTGCAGACAACACAGTCAAGCATTTCTAACCTTTATATCTCTATATCTGCTAGGAATTGCTCCCTTGAGCCCTTAGGCTTAATCAATTTGTCATATCTTGTTTCTGCTCTTTAAATAGTCAATCCATTTGAAGTTTCTATGAATTAAATATTTCTTATCTTTATACAGAAAAGTATATGGATTTTTATTTACATATCAGTAGTATAAACATTTTTAGCAAGAAAAAAGTGCCCTTTACTAGTCGTCTAACACCAAAAAGTTAATTTTTCTATTTTATTCTGTATTTCAAAAGATTTTTTTCCCCTCAGATGTAGACCAACAACGAAGAGAGAAACTCAAAAAGGAATTAGCACGGTGTGAAAGGGAATTGAAATTAACTAAAAGTGCAATGCAATCCCATTCTAAAAGTAATTCCAAGTCATTACTTAACACTCTACAAAAGGTAAGATAGTATTTTTACCTTTTAAAAGTAAATGTTTCTAAGATACTTCATTGGTGGTGGAACCTGACTTTTTGATAATGTTTACTATATAGGTCAGAATTGGTACACTTTCCTGTAAATAGCCAAATAGTAAATATTTTAGGCTTTCCAGGCCACAACTATTGTGTCTCTGTCACAACTATTGTGCCATTGGAAAGCAGCCATAGACAGTATGTAAATGAATGGACATAGCTTTGTTCTAGTAAAACTTTATTAACAAATAAGGTGGTGGGCCAGATTTGACCTGTAGGCTATAGTTTGCTGACCCCTGCTTTAGGTTTTTTGTGATACCCTTTATCATCTGATTAAGGGAATTCTTTTCGATTCCTAGTTTGCTAAGAGGATTTTTTTCCTTTCTCATGAATGTGTGTTAATTTTATCAAATTCTTTTTCTGCATTTTTTGAAATGATGGTACAATTTTTCTTTTTAATCTATTCAAATGTAGTGAATTATAATCGAGTTTCTAACGTTAAATCAACTTTGCATCCCTGGTATAAACACAGGTTTGTCATGATGTAATTCCTTTTTTTATACATTACCAGATACAGTTGCTAATATTTTGTTTAGGGTTTTAGCATCTATGTCTATTATTGATATTGACCTGTCATTTTCCCTTTTTTCTGCTGTGTCAGGTTTTGCTAGCCTCATAAAATAAACTGGGTGCTATTTCCTCTTTTTCCATGCCCTAGAGTAGTTTATGTAAGTTTGGAATTATTTGTTCCTTGAATTTGATGGAAGTCAGCACTAAAATTACTTGGGCCTAGAGTTTTATTTGTGAGAAGATTTTTGACTGCAATTTTTGAAATCATTATAGAACTATTTTCATAAGTTGTACATATGTAGAAAGTTGTCCATTTCATCTAAATTTTCAAATTCTTGGCATAGACTTGTTCATAATATCTCAAATCATTTCATAATCTCTCTTGAATATGTATTAGTTCCTCTTTTTATCCTAATGTTGTTTATTTGTGCCTTCATTCTTTATTATTCTCAGCAGAGATTTGTCAGTTGTATTAATCTTTTTAAGGGCACATCTTTTACTGCATTGATCCTCTCTGTTGTACTTTGTTTTCTAGTTGGGTAATGTTCATGCCTTATTTTCCTCTTTTGGCTTTCTTTGAGTTTATGTTACAGTACTTTCTTCTACTTTAGTTTATTTTCAGCCTCACTTCTTTCATAGTATGAGCATTTTTAAGGCTATATATTTTCCTTCAAGTGCTGCTTTAGCTGCATTCCACAAGTTTTGATATGTGGTATTTTTATTATGGTTCAGTTCAAAGTATTTTACAGTTTCCATTATAATTTATTCTTTAACTCAAGCATCTTTTAGAAGTGTTTATTAATCTCTATTTTTTTTCCTGGTTTTCTCTTTGTTACAGATTTCTAGCCTAATTGTATTTTGATCAGGGAACATCTGTGTGATATCCATTTCTTGAAATTTGTTGAGACTTGTTTTATGGCCCAGTAGGTAGACAGTTTTTTTTTTCTTTTATTTGTTTGGACAATATTTTTTAATGTACTATGTCATATGTGTTTGAAAAGAAAATATATTCTCTAGCTGTATGCAGTATTTAATATATAGTATATGCATTAGATTAAGTTTTATATCTTTTAGGTGTTCAAATCTTATTGATCTTTTTGTCTAATTAGTCTATCTTTTATTAAGAGAAATCTTTCACATGATTATATATTTAGCTATTTCTCCAAGAATTAGTACTAGCAATTTTTGTTTTATATGTTTTTAGTCTATATTATTATATACATACAGACTTAGAGATGATATATTTTCTTGGTGAATCTAACCTGTTGTCACTGTGGTTTGAACTTCTTTGCCTTGATGCTTTTTATATTAAAGTGTTTTCTGATAGTGATATAGTTAAACCAGCTTTCATTTCATTAGTATTCCTTTGGTATATCTTTTTCCTTTTTTTTTTTTTTTTTTTTTTTTTTTTTTTAACGGTACGCGGGCCTCTCACTGTTGTGGCCTCTCCCATCGCGGAGCACAGGCTCCGGACGCGCAGGCTCAGCGGCCATGGCTCACGGGCCCAGCCGCTCCGCGGCATGTGGGATCTTCCCCGACCGGGGCACGAACCTGTGTCCCCTGCATCGGGAGGCGGACTCTCAACCACTGTGCCACCAGGGAAGCCCCCACTTTTACCATTTTTTAATCCTAATATTTTAGATAGGTTTTAGGTGGGTCAGATTATTCACTCTGATAATCTTTGCCTTTTAAAGTGGAGCATTTAGGGCTTCCCTCGTGGCGCAGTGGTTGAGAGTCCGCCTGCCGGTGCAGGGGACACGGGTTCGTGCCCCGGTCTGGGAGGATCCCACATGCCGCGGAGCAGCTGGGCCCGTGAGCCGTGGCCGCTGAGCCTGCGCGTCCGGAGCCTGTGCTCCGCAACGGGAGAGGCCACAACAGTGAGAGGCCCGCCTACCGCAAAAAAAAATAAAAATAAAAAAATAAAGTGGAGCATTTAGTATGTTTTCATTTCTTCTTTCTTCTTGTGTACTTTCTATTTGACCCACAGTAGTAGGCAGGATTCTAAGCCCACAGTGATCCCCACCCTTAAACAATCCCCTCGTCTTGAGTGTAGGCAGTACCTGTAACTTGCTTCTAACCTATGGGATGTAGCAAAGGTGATGGAATATCACTTCTGTAATTCTTCTGTGGCAAAGTGAAGGGAATTTCCCCCTGTAGATTGAGAGAAAGGAAAAATAGGTCTGAGAGTAATTTCTGCAGTGGGTGCTGTTCCCCTCCCCTAGCCATGCCAAAGAAACAAGGGAAGGGGGAAATTTTCTCAGGATTCTTCCTGCTCTTCCCTGAGAGCTTTTGGTGGAAAAGCTCTTTCCTAGAGGAAAAGCCTGCAAGAGGGTACAAACTCCCCAAGTCTCAGAGGCTTCATACTCTTACACTAGTCCACACTCAGTCCTTAGCAATTAACTAAAAACTTCTAGCATAATCTTCTTACCAGTTTATATGTCATTCAGCAGCATCTGTCCCAAATAAGCAAATGCTTAGGTTCTGTTTCTCCCTGCAGGTACCTATATCACTGTGGATTTTAGGTTAGTTGTGACCTTAGTTCTCTCAATAGTTCAAGAAAAATCATTAATTTGCAGTTTGTCCAGCTTTTTTTCATATTATAATGGTGAGAGCTATGCTCTTTCCATTTCTCTCCATCTGTCAGCTGAAACTGGAAGTCTTTTTGTGTGTGGTCTCTTTTTAAACTTTTTAATTTTGAAAATTTTAGCATCTATAAAAATAGAGTGGTATAATGAACCCACGTGTTCTTGTCCCCCAAGTGCAACAATGATCAATTCAGAGCCAGACTTATTTCATGTATATCCTCACTCACTACCCCCATCCCAGATTATTTTGACGCAAATACCAAATATATAATATTATCTATAAATATTTCTGTATATATCTAAAAGATAGACCACCATACCATTATTATGCCTTAAAAAATAATAATTCCTTAATATCATCAAATATCCACTTCACATTTCCCCATTATCTCTCTCTTTTTTTTTTTTAAGTTTGTTGGAATTGGAATCTAAATAATTTCAACTAATTGATACATTTCTTTTAATCAATAATTTCTCTTTCCCCCACCTTTTTATCCCCCTACAATTTATGTGTTGGAAAAAACTTGAGTCATTTGTCTTGGCTTAAGGTTTTTGTGGACCATCTGGGTAATGCAAATTTAGGCTGCAAGCTTGTGTGGAAGCAGCATATGATTTCTCATTCTCAAAGGCCACTGTTCTCTCAGTGCCAGTGTTCAAGATGGGCAAGTTTCTTTGTAAGTCATCTAATTGGAGGGTCGCCATTGAGAGGATCCCAGATTCATGAGCATGGTCTCCTAGACTGTCTAGATTAGGCCCTGAGCTTTGTTTTCTGTCCCCTAGCAACTGTGATATGGAAAAACTATTGCCTGTTGGTAAAAGCCGTTTCATTTTTGACTCCAGCTCTTTCCATTGTACATGAAGATGTGACATATTAGTAGGCAGGGGTAAAGACTAAGGGCATTTGTGAATTAAGAGTGAACCTGGGTCCTTTTTCTCTGAGAAGTGTGGCAGAGCCATAGACCAGTTTTTATTTGGGAAGTTATGTCATCATACTGGCACTTTACAAAGACTACACTGGCAGCAGGGAAGGACAGACTAATTGTGTGACAGTTGCAGTATAAGGAAGAAATGATTAAGATCTGTAAGACAGCAGAAGGAGCATAAGGAATATATATTTAGGAGACATTTAAAAAGTAGAATCCCCAGGACTTGGTGACTGATCAGATGATATGAAGAGCAAGAGGCAGGAATTAAAGAGGTTTCCAGGTTTCTGGCTTGGGCAGCTGGGAGGTTTCCAGGTTTCTGGCTTGCCCGAGTTTACTTGTTCGGACCTGCTTAATTTGAGACGCCTTTGGAACATCTAATATATTCAGTAGAGAGCTGGATATAAGTATCTGTGTCAGGAGGGAGGTCTGGGCTGAAAATAGATTTGGGAGTCATCAGGAAAGCTGTAAATATGTTTAAGAGTCCCCAAGGCTGTTTTGTAGATAAAAGGACTAGGAATAGAGCTGCTTCCTTTAGAATAAACCTGCTGTACACTATACCATCTGGGAATCTGTTCATCAGTATTTGACTCATGTATGTATTTTCATTTTCAGTGATGGTACTTTTTAAACATATTTTTTAAAATATGTTTCTATTATCTAACATTTTGAATATAAATTAATAATTCTATTTTGAGGTAAGGATGGGATTTGTTGAAAATAAAATATATAATTAAGTCTGTAAATGGACGATGTTTTCCATTCATTTTTCCTTTAGTCACTGTAACCCTGTAACTTTTTGCTTCTAAAAATATAGTTCATTTATGCTTTTATATAGGTATATTTTTTACTCCATTTAGACTTAATAGTAATTTGCAGTTTGCTTACATTTTTTATAATACTTGATGATAAATATTTAGATACATTCAAATTAAAATTATTATTTGGGGCATAATATTTTGATAATTGGGTGGGTTTATGATTAACAGATACCTGTAGTTATAATCTGCATTTACTGAAAAGTTTGCTACAATTCAAAAGAAAGTGGTAACTTTGACCTCTGGACATATTAGCTGTTTATATACGTGAGACCATGTAATCAAAAACTTTTTCTTTAATTGCCCACACTGTAATATGGGCTATTTATTTTCTCTTACATTTTGACTTACATGCTATCACCTCAGACACTTTTAAGTCTGCACCTTGTACCTCACACACAGTTATTCACCACTCACTCACATCACTGGTGCAGCACATACCATGTGATATTAAGATTAATTGAATATATGAATGTGATTCATGTTCTTAAATAAATCTATTTTAAAAGCACTATAAAACAGTGAAAATCAGAAGCTATCAGTTTCTTTTGTAAAATACAATTTGAAGCTTTTTGCAAAACAAGTGTTAATCAAATTTTTAAATAAATTGTATCCATCCTGTTCTGCACTTGAATTGATTCCTCCACTGTTTTAAAACCTGACAATTGGAAAATCTTTGTATACCATTTCTTCTGACATTATCCCTGAAAAAGATTGATTTAATACTCAGTTGTTCTGTGATTAAAATTGGATAGGTATTTTTGACATAAAAACATGTATGTGTTAACTGTCAATAATTATCACTTTACATAAATTCTTAAATCACAGAAACAGTTTACAACAAATTGCATTAAAGTGGAAGTGGTCAGATTACCACCAGAATTTTTGTTCCATTGACAATAATTGATGAACACTTTTCTGATTTTAGAACTTTACAGTGATCTGCTATTTTAATTTTGGTGAATTTACCAGTGTGTTACACATTTTCTGTGAAAATCATATCCATACTTTCTGATATTCATAGTTAAAAATTATATAATCTCAAAAAAGCAGATAGGTACAGTTGGTTTTGCACTGTGTTCTACTAGTTTCCAAGGAAAGAAGTAGGATACAGGGTAGGAATTATAAGATATAAAGATACAGAAAAGTTTCATGCCTTCACTTGATTCAAGAGCAATTTTCCCAGCCCATTTCAGACAGATGAGAGTATATTCCTGCCTTTAAAGACTTTCTTTGGTATTTCATTTTGTTTATTGAATAACCATTACTGGTAAGAATTTTCTCACAGGCAGTCTAATGCCTTATGCATTTCTGCCTGCTGTGATCCCAATTTGTTCTGTTCCCCAAGTGTAAATAATTCCTGTGATTATTATTTAATAGCCCTAAAAGATTTTTCAGATCATACTTAGAAATTGCTTTCCGGGGAGCCAGACTCCTCTGGTACATAAGCTGCAGTGTGAACCTAGTTTGGGAACACTTTTTACAACTAATGTGTTAAAGTCATTAACTAAACACTACCCTAGTGACTTACAGTTTAATGCCAAAATACTTAGTTGCTTTGAGTAATTCTGCTTTATATTTGGGATAAAGTTGGAAAGCACTTGGAAAGGAAATAGGTGACTTGACCTATTTTAGGCTGTAGTCACAATATCTAGTTATCTGCAATTTCCTTGCTGAGGTAAATCAATATGTAAGTTAGCTGACTTGTTCATTACCATGAAAGGAGTTAAAATCAGCTTAAGATTCCTGGTGGTGTAAAAAAAATCTAAAAATGTATAAATTTCAAATGAGTCTGTAAAATAGATAGTATGATATAATGGGAAGAGCATAGGTTCACCTGGGTTCAAATCTATGAGACCTTGCCCCTCAGGTTCTTCATCTGCATAGTAGAGGTACTAATTGTACCACCACCCAGAAGTTGATGTGATGATCAAATGAGTCGTACGTGTAAATTAATTAGAACAGTACCTTGCACATAGTATGCACTCCATATGTAATAGTAGTAGTGGTAATAGTAACAGTTCTTACTGTTCCTCTTTTATTTCTACTCAAAGGCAATAACAGTACCTTGTGCACAGAAAGCACTCAGCTCCTTTCTTATTCAGCTTGCTTATCTTCCTCTTGTTTTCCTCCCCATGAGCTTGTAGGACAGATATAACTGGCTAAATCCCAGCCTTTTTCACTCCAGATTAACTTCCATGTAACTTCTTCTCTACCATTTAATAAAGTGCCTCAAAGTTCTGTAAAGGATACACAGGTGTCCATAAAGTCTGGAATCATGGACAAGGCATCTAGTCTATGGGCATCTAGTCTGTAAAAGAATAAAATATTACCTATACTCTTAAAACTTATGAATACCTTGTAGAAATAGTTCTTCCGAAGTTAAACCAAACATATATACGATGGAATACCACTCAGCCATAAAAAAGAATGAAATAAAGCCATTTGCAGCAACAGGGATGCATCAAGAGATTATCATACTAAGTGAAGTAAGTCAGAAAGAGAAAGGCAGATACCATATGATATCACTTATGTGTGGAATCTAAAATATGGCACAAATGAACCTATCTATGAAACAGAAACAGACTCACAGACATAGAGAACAGACTTGTGGTTGCCAAGGGGGAGGGCAGGTGGGGGAGGGATGGATTGGGAGTTTGGGGTTAGTAGGTGCAAACTATTACATATAGAATGGATAAACAAAAAGGTCCTACTGTATAGCACAGGGAACTATATTCAATATCCTGGGATAAACCATAATGGAAAAGAATATTAAAAAGAATGTATATAAGTGTATAACTGACTCACTTTGCTGTACAACAGAAATTAACACAACATTGTAAATCAACTATACTTCAATTAAAAAAATTTTTTTTTAATGGTTAAACCAAAAAGAAATAGAGCAGGCCAAAATGCCTTCCTTTCAAAGCTTTCCCCACTCATGAGAAGTTGAGAAAGAAACATATGAACTTCCCTATGGCATAAATCTTTCTTAATTATGTTTAAAATAGCAGTTACTTAAATCAGGGCTCCATACATCTATACATTGTGAAGAGAAGTTCCTTTTCATTCCTTCAAAGCCTTTAAGTCACAGAAGAACTGCTGGCACTGAAGGTGGTCATGACAAGGCATGAATGGGTGGATGCTGCCACCAGCAGTGGTTGAGAAGGGGATTAGTACTCACGATTGGTTTGGAAACTCAAATAAAACTGAGATCTACCTCAGTACACAGGTTCAAGACCACAAATATAGTTATATGTTATTAATCATTTGTTTAGTTTCAGAAAGAAAAATGATTGCTATTGCTTATATTTAGAATTATATTTTTATATATTAATAATTCAAAAACTTGAATATAACTTCATATACAAATTTTCAGGAACATACACACTATATTTGTAGAGCCCTGAGGCTCTACATTTTTTAATGTGTAATCTGGAGATCCCCAATTATCTGAATTTGTAAGTGTAACTGATCACTGTTAAACCAAATGTTCTTAGCCTCCAGGAGAACCACAAGATGAAGATGCTTTGTTAATCGAAGAAGTGAACGGATTTCCATCCTTTAAAAGGTCACCAGTAACTTCTTCAGAGCGACTACACTTAAATCCACCTAAATCCAATAAAGTCCTCACAAATGGTACTGAGAAGAACTCCAGTTCTTTCCTGTCCAGCATGGATCACGCTGCCTCTGGGCCCAGGAAATCATACTCTGGAACCTCCTACGGCAGAAGGCCCCGGGGCACATCCCTAAATTCCCAGCGGTTTCAGTTAGTTATTTCAAAAGCACCCAGTGGGGACCTTTTGGATAAACATTCTGAACTCTTTTCTAACAGACATTTGCCATTCACCCCACGCACTTTAAAAACAGAAGCAAAATCTTTCCTGTCACAGTATCGATATTATACACCTGCCAAAAGAAAAAAGGATTTTACAGATCAGCAGATAGAAGCTGAAACTCAGACTGAATTAAGCAGGTATGGCACAACAGTCAATAGTATATCCTTCAAGATGTGGTAGAAATTAAAAAATATTCCTTACTTTATTTCATGTACCTTATGTGCCACACTTAAGGTCTGGTAGTGCCCTTTTGATTAGAATGAGGTTAATGTGGCTTTTCCTTCTGCATGAATCACTAGAACTATCAGAGTAATTGTTGAAAAAATAAATAGCTATTAAACTTGTCAAGCTCCTTATGAACATGAATGTTACATATTTTAATTTATTGTTTCAAACATGGTACTAGAACTTTTGTATGTTTTTAAATATACTTTCAGAGAATCCGTAAAATATGTCATCAGACAGCATTTGTGTAAATATGTTTATTGATTTATGTTAGAAATGGCAAAACAATTGACTGTATTGGGGGAGAAAAAGCAACTGTTTGTCTAACTACCCCTATGCTTCCCTCCCTGCAAATATTCAGCAACAACTCCTCAGGTATAATGTAGACAATTGGGATAATTTCTGGAAATTAAGTATAATTTGCCTCAATAATATTTTCATATACAGTAGTGCCTGGCACATAATGAATATTCATTAAAGGTTGCCAGATGATTGAAGAAAGAAACAAATCTTGTAAAGTATTGAGTGTTAGCGGATTTGTGATTGTTTTTCCTAGTGTTATATAAATGAGTATTTATCTGGTGCTAGGTTTTAATTATTTTTAAAAGTAAAAAACAATTTATGACTAGTATTCTTTTCTCTGGGTAAAGATAAGAGGTATAGTAAGATCAGTCTGTATACATTTAAAGAATTAAGGAATTAAATCTAATGATATAATTTTTAAGTGAAGAAGAAATGAGGGAAGCAAATACAACGAATACTTTTCTGATTATATTTTTGACAGCTTTTGAAGATAATGGTTTCCATTTCCCTAGTCCCATTCTGTCCAACTGAAATCTAGCTGCTCTTGAAAAAAGGAAAAAGAGGCATATGTAATCCAAACCATATCTATTTCCTGATTATATAATTAGAAATTACACATTCTACAAGAATAGATGCATTTTATCTCTCATGTTTGAAGTTTATTTTTTTCTAGCCAGTAAAGCTTATTATCACAGTGTTTATATTTTGAAGATTTAACAATAATTTCTTTTAAAATATTACAGCTTTCAATCTGATTTTGAGACAGTTGAGATTAAGAACTTCACAGATTCAGAAATGAAGCAGGTAATAAAAATGAGATTTCTTTGTGTCCCACATTAGAATTATAGCTGCTTTAACAGAACATGTGTAGCTATTTGGACTGTGAAGAATAATCTCTTGGTGACACTTCTTGCATGTGATACAACCAGTATACAGAAGTATTGCTTTCTTACAGATGGTTATAGCTCTCTGTGAGTGGCCAGGTGGATCCTGCCCAATCTGGGAAGTCATTTTTTTGTTGGCAACTTTTCTAGGTGGTTGGATGGCTGGCTGGATAGACGGGTGGATGAGTAAAATACCTTATATGTTCTTTTCAAAGTTGCAGACTTGGATCACTAAAGGAGCCAGAAAAGTTGTGCAGAAGTTATTTTAGTTTCTATGCCTGTATTTTTTTTTAAAGAATTGCCACTGATTATATTATTGGAAATTATACATTTTATAAAAACAGATGGATATCATTCTCCTGTGCTTGCTTTTACTTTTTTCTAGACTGTAAAGATTATAAACTGATTATTTTTATTTTAGGGGTATTAATCATACACTAATTTAAATTTCTTGTTTGTGAAAAAGGTTTGTCTATTAAAATGTCAAGCAGATTCAGGGATAATATAAGCATACTCAGCTTTCCTCTTCCCTTCTGAAAATGGGTAGAGGATCGTAGTTTTCCATCCCAGCCATTAATAGCTGTTTGACATCGGGTTCTGCCATTTAAGGCCCAAGGACAAATCAGTTCCTCTGAGAGCTGAGTTTCCACCTCTAGAAACACTGTGCTTAATGTGCAGGATCATTGGAAGGATTAAATGTTGTACGTGAAGTACCTAGTCTGACCCAGGCTCTGTAAATGATGGCTATGACTAGCTTGAGATTTAGGAAGAGGGTTTTTAGCTCCGTAGATAACTAAATAAACTAAAGCAGAAGTCCATTTTTATGACATTGTGCTCCAAATGTTTATCTAATAACCCTGTAAGAAAATGGCATGTCCCCTTACTCCATAATCTACTTGAGGAAGCTAGTTAAGAGTATTAGCTACAGTAGATAGAACATCCTAACAGCACTTTTAAAACTGTAAAGCACTACACATAAATTAGCATTCTAAAGATTAACTCTGATAATGCAGGTAAGTGCTTGACACAGTATCTGGCCCCTCGTAAGCGTTCTATAAAAGTAGGCTGCCCTTGTTTTTGTTTTTTTCTTTATATTGTTGTTCATACTGCCGGAGCTACCACTGCTTCTACAATACATATTTGATAGGTTGGCATTTGAAACAGATGGGCTATTTGAGTTTCTGAATAATAGGCTTATTTTTTCTCAAGTTTACTTGTTTGCTTGGTTTCTCTTTGTTTGTTTATTTGTGGTGGTCTTTAATGTCATTTAAAATATTCGTCATTAAAATATAAGAAATTGTTTTACCTTTAAATAAATTTAAGAAAAACGTCTTGATTGTATGAAAAGTGAATTCTGAAACATCCTTTGTCCTAATGTATCAGTCACATTTATCTACTGGGTATCTCTACGCTCTTTCAACTATTTTTGGAAACTTCCTGTTTTGCTTTAGTTCTGCTTTCATAATGTATTTTTGAAGCAAAATAAAGATTTATGCTTCTCATTGCATCCCCAGGCATCTAGCTGTATGTCGTATGGTACGAAAGGAAAAATAACCCCTTTACCTTTACAAGGACATGAATTACCATGGGATAAGGTTAAAGACAGTGCTCTTCAGTGTTCCTCATCAAGGTATTTCACCTGTTTATATCTAACTGCTTTCCTGTGTAACAGACGTACAGACTTTGCAACATGAGGGGACTTCCCTGGCGGTCCAGTGGTTAAGACTCCGTGCTTCCACTCCAGGGGGCGACGGTTTGACCCTGGTCGGGGGAACTAAGATCCCACGTGCCGCGTGCTGTAGGGGGGCGGTGGCAGGGGTCAGACACTTCAGACCTGGAAACATGAGTACTGTTTTAACTGAATGCTCTCCCATCTGTTTTGGTATTACACAATTCAGTGGCCCTGTTAGTTTTACTAAGGAAGTATTACGAAGTAGGTAGTCACTGAAAGTGTAAATGAATTCATTTTGCTAATTCATTAATAAAAGGAAAAGGGACACAGGCTTGTATTATTTACTATCCCTCTTCATATGAGAAAAGATTTTCCCCAAGACAGATCCTCCAGCAGTGATGCTAACCAGTTTACATGGCACAGATAGTACTGAAGAACCCTACCATTTGAGGATTCAGCATTTGTGGTTTTGAGTATTCCTCATGTGCTAGTGCTTTATCTGTCCGTGCTTTGTAGAGGAGGCACTATTTTTTAAAACGACTCCTCATGTTTTGGAATTACGGAACACTGCACCTAAATAAAAATGATAGGTTAGCAGGTAGTATAGAACCTAAAAAATGCCTTTGATAGCTTCAGCTGTCAAGTGCATTTCCAGTGTCAGAGTTTGGATATGAGATGAAGGAGGTGGAAGGAAAAAAAGACTAAAGAGCAAGAATGAGACATCCTGTAGCAGACTGGAAGCAAGCACACGCAGCCCTTCAGGGCCCAGCTCTTCCCTCAGGCCTTTCCTTAGGGAGATCTCACCGGGAAAGGCTTTGTGGGGGGAGGGAGTGACAAGGAGGTTTATTGCTGACTTCTCTGTCTGGAAATTCATGATGCTTTAGTACTCATAACTTAAGATACTCTCTTGAGCCAGTTGAGCCAGTCTGCAGTGAATATAAAGAATAACCTAAAGAAAGGGATAGTTATCTTTCCCAGTAGCTTCTATCTATAAGAAGTAAAGTAAAATATTATAATTGAATATACCTGAATAGGAAGCTTGGAATTAACTAATGATGACATAACTGAATAATGACAAAATTTATCATAGTTAATAGCTTAAAATTTTTTTCTATAGGGAGATATGTTTCTAACATCATTTATGTTTTAATCTTAGTCAAACTAATTGTTTATACAAGGTAAGTTTCATAGTACAATTTTTAAAAGGATCATGAATTTGTAATTACAAGACTAGTTTAAAAATCTATCTTTGCTACTTACTAACACATGACCTTGGCAAGTTACTTAGCTTTTCTACCCCTAGGTGAATTGTTTAGGAAGTGGAAAAAATAACACCTACCCAATATACCTGACAGGGTTTTTCTGAAGATTAGATTAGATAATGAATGTGAAAAGTGCTTTAAAATTCTGAAACATATTATTACTAACATATTACTGTATGCCAAATCATTGTTTTGTTCAAATACTCTAATTTTCTCTTTCCAGGGCAGTATGTCAATGTCCCCTGCAGCCTCCTTCAGGGAGAAAAATCTATTCTGAGTAAGATATTTTTGACTTCTTCATTTTGCTTAGTGGAAATGAAGAATTAAGACTCACACAAATTATTATTAAATTAGTCAGGATTGAACACTAATCTTTCTTTACAACCAGCTTTGGGGTTCAGTCATATAATGCACACCAAATCTGAGAGAATGACCAGAATTTTCTGAAATAATTATTAATCACTTCATCTTTATGTCCAGTAGAAATTTGTCCCTAAGTTAATAATACTTGCTATTTTTTTTATAATTAGTACCCATAATTTTTATTTTTATAAATAAAAATAATAAAGAATAATAAAGATGAGTTTTAGAGAAATGTAGGCTTGGTAGCTCAGGATACCATTCTTGGAGGTTTCTAACTTCACCAGTTTTTTGCAGATAAAAAACCCACTTCTGGGTTTGAATGTTGTTTTAGTTAAGCTGCATTTTTTCAGGGAAAACAATCTACTTTTGTAGACTTTCATTTATTCTCAAACTTGCTGCCTGTGAATTGGTTTGAAAGCGTAATTTTTATGCAGTATTTTAATCTTCTATTTGATTTGCTGATTAACTCTTT